GAACCCAGCAGGTGAAGGTTGCAGTCAGCTGAGATCACAAGAGTATATCTGAAAAAATAAAATAAAATAAACGAGCTTTACTGAGGTATCATTCACATACAATCTACCCATTTATTTATTTTTATTTTATTTTTTGAAATAAAGTTTCACTCTTGTCACCCAGGCTGGAGTGCACTGGTGTGATCTCAGCTTACTGTGGCCTTGGCCTCCGAGGTTCAAGCGATTTTCCTGCCTCAGCCTCCCAACTTCAAGTGATTTTCCTTCCTCAGCCTCCCATGTAGCTGGAATTACAGGTGCCCACCATCCCACCTGGCTAAATATTGTATTCTTAGTAGAAACAGGGTTTCACCATGTTGGCCAGTGCTAGGATTACAGATATAAGCCACTGTGCCCCACCCAATTTACTTAGTTTACACTTTAGTGTACAACCAAAACCACAACCATCCTGACTATACAGGGGTAGGAAGAGACTGCAGAGAAGCAGGGCTTGGGGGCAAAAGTGAGGCACAGGGCAGGGCACTGGCTCCCCAAGACTCACCCATGAAGTTACGCTCACTGGTGGCATCCATGTTGTTGAGAGTGATGGTCCCAATGTTGAGTTCTGGATGGTGGGAAGAAGCAGGCCTGGGCTGGAGCACAGGGAGTGGCCTCCTCTCCCCCAACCAGGCTGCCCAGCCCATCCTCCTGGAAAGAGGATCAGGGCAGGCAGGATGGGAGCTGGGGTGAGGGATCTTTTGCACAGTCCTAGGAGGGAGGCAGGAGCCCTGAGTCTCTCAGTACCATGCACCCATGCCATGGAAGACTTCAGTACCCATAGGCAATAAATGAAGTTTTCACCAGGAGCCATAGGCCCCTGTTTTCTGGTCTCAGGTGTGGCTTCGTGTCCTGGCGGGTGCTGAGGGTGACTCCCCCTAGGGAAGAGGGGAAGGGCATCTCACCTGCTCAGAGCAGCTCTCGATCCACAACCAAGGGGACTGCCCAAAATTGCCCCACTGCAGGGACAGGGATTCATGGTGACCAGGGCTCCTCACAGGCAGGCCACCCCCACACACACATACACCCCCCACAGAACCAAGTCCTGATTGCCAGGGCAACCACCTGGAGCTCAGCCCCTTCCCTGGCCCAGTCGAATTGGGTGCACACTTAACCCCAAGTGTCCCCAGAACACTTATCCCCAAGCACCAAGTCGCCTTGGGTGCAGGACCCTTGTCTCCTGACAAATGTCCCCATATGTCAGGCTGAGGGCAGCGGGCTGGGCTGGCCAGGAGCCTCACTGGAGAGCTCTGGCCCTGCTCAGAAACATTCACTGGCTTGGACATCCCCATCTTAGTGAGAGCTGGGGTTCCATGCAAGGTCCCCCTCTGAGCAGACAACCTGACTTTCTGTCCCATTCTGCCCTTCCAGCTCATCTGTTAATCCCTAAGGCTATGCAGCAGCTACCCCCATCAGGCCCTTGGAGCACTGAAGCCTCACACACCTCCCCAGGGGCAGGACACCGATCCACTTCCGCACCTCCAGCAGCTGCTCAGAGTCTCGGGTCAGTGCCATGGTGTGGCTGTGGAAAGCCAGGGGCAGGAGGGTCAGGGCAGCCAGGGTCTTCCCCTCCAGCATGGCCCCTGCACCTCACCCAGCTCACCTCAGAATCCAGTGGCTCCAGCGGAGGGGCTGGGCCCTCTGCAGGTGGCTGTACCCTGGGAAGAGGACATCATGTTCCCTGTGGGAGAGGAGGAGCAGGGGCTCGGGTGGAGGCTGGGGCAAGGCCTGCTGGTGACACTGGAACCCTGCAGGCCTGGGTCACCCCTGAAAGAAGTGTTGTCCTGCAGCAATGCACTTGAATGAGGGATCCAGGATCTCCCAGGGACAAATTGCTCTCAAGGGAAAAAGAGGCCAGAAGTGTGGCCATGTGAACCATGCACTGGGCGTGAGCTGTGGAGCTCCTGGGTTAAGGCTTTGCCTCAGGAACACCCAAAGCCTGAGCCTCTGTCACTCAGCATCTCTGAGTGGGAGCCAGAAAAGGGGAGGAGGCCAGTGTTGGGTATGATTTGGCCATGGGAGGTTTCGTTTGAGGACCCAAGAAATAGCTGGGGCTCATAAAGAGCCGCTCCAAGCAGATGGGACACCCTACCCCTCGTTCAAGTTACCATTTTTTTGTATTTTTAGTAGAGGCAGGGTTTCACCATGTTGGCCAGGCTGGTCTCGAACTCCTGACCTCAGGTGATTCACCCGCCTTGGCCTCCCAAAGTGCTGGAAGTATACGCATGAGCCACTTCACCTGGCCTTTTTTTTTTTGTTTTAAATAAACCAGCTTTGCTGAGGTATCATTCATATATAATTTACCCATTTAAAGTTTACACTTTAGTGTACAACCATTACCAATTTAAGAACATTTTCACCATCCGCTAAACAAATTCTATACTCAAGGCCTGGCAGCTCAAGCCCGTAATGCCAGCTCTTTGGGAGGCCAAGAGGGAAAGATCACTTGAGGCTGGGAGTTCAATCAGACTGAGCCACATAGTGAGAACCCATTTCCACAAAAAATTTTAAAAATTCACAGGGTGTAATGCACACCTGTGGTCCTATCTACTCAGAAAGCTGAGGTGGGAGGATCATTTGAGTCCAGGAATTTGAGGCTGCAGTGAGCTATGATTGAGCCACTGCACTCCAGCCTACGTGACAGAGCAAGAGCTCATCTCTGAAGACAGCTTAAAAAATGAAAAATGTGGCCGGGTGCGGTGGCTCAGCACTTTGGGAGGCCGACATGGGTGGACCACAAGATCAGGAGATTG